TAAATCCGCTAACCGAGCCTAATCTAAATATACGGAAAACAATAAAACTGAACGACAAAACAATACGTGAGCCACCCTTGCTCATCATGGCCTTACAAATTAAAACTTGAAACAAGACCCATTTCTTTGCGGAGACTCGGCAGAGATCAGTCCAAGCAAATGCCCCATAAACATATAGTACTAATCTAAGCCCCTCTTACAAATTCCGTCGGATTTTAGCCCACAATGAATTAGTTTTTCTTATTCTAATTATAAAACGATTGCAAAATCTTGGATGTCCTTTACCTCAAAAAGACGGCAACCTACTATCAATTGCGTTATTATACACATATAATGGTCTGATACCCATTTCCAAGCACATCTGTTACTAGGGCGATTAGTCAATCCCTGTTGCAGACACCTGGTCTCTGGTACATTTTTGTGTTTGTTTAACATACAGGACCCACATGTGGTTTATATTGCAATTATTTTGAGCGGACCTTAGTTACAATTACTGGGAAATTGCATATCATATGGTGATATATATATATATATATATATATATATATATATATATATATATATATATATATATATATGCTAGGATTAGTGTATACGGAATAAATTCAATAACCAACAATTACTATTCTTAAAAAAGTGCTCAATAAAAGTAGAGAAAACATTTTTCGAATAATAATTATATATATATATCCCAGTACGTTCAAAGCCTCAGTCATGTTGACTTTGAATTCATGTCGGCATAACCATCGATGGTTCCATCTATCCAGTTTCTCACTCTGGCTTGGATTTGCCGGCGGTTTCGGGAACATTCCACTCTTCCAGGCTTGTAACATGAAAAGTCATTTCCGGACAAATCGGCCATGGTGAATTCAGAAACGGTTCTCAGAAAAAGCGAACTATCTAACACAGCCATGCGCCTGCCAATACATACATACATAAAAAGGCGAGGGCACTCATCAAGAATACCATCTCCCTAGCAGGGTTAGCCAATCACTGCTCCTGCTGTATTTATATTGTATTTAACTGCCACACCTGTGGTTTATACCTAACCAGGCTGAGCGGACATAGTTACCGTTTCTGGGAAGAGCACGTGAACAGATCTGGACGTTCAACTCCTCTGTGCGATTACTTGTGCGTTCGTGCTGCGTAGCATCCCGATGGATCCCAGGAGTTCCATCAACTCAATTTCATTCAAAGGTTGTGTCATGCTGGTATTTTGAGACGCTTTCGAAAGTGTCGCAAACTGAATCGCCCTCTCAAGATAACAACAAGAAGTCACCTTACTGACAAATCGAGATTCGAACCCGGGTCTTATGGTCAGAAATCAGACGTTCAACCACTTGATCACGTGTCCATACAGATACGCCATACATACTGGCTACGCATTATTCAGATATTTGCTACGCCTCATCCTCGCATCATATGAGATGACTTTCGTCTCATATCTGTATCTATGGTCCCTAGAAACATTGTTTGTGATTCGACCTGCATGCTCTACATCTCTCTTGCGTACCCTATTGCCCACCATAGTCGGGTGATGGTCTCAATTGCGCTTTCATAGTCCGGTGATGGTCTTCAAATATGCCTTTGCCCTCGGTCGGGTGATGATCTGCAATCGTATCCCCATAGATCCGGGTGATGGTCTGCAATTGTGCCTCATGTGCGGATGATGGTCTGCAATTAATACCTCCATAGTACGGGTGAGGGTCTGCAATTGTGCCTCCATAGTCCGGCTGATGGTCTGCAATTATGCTTACATAGTCCGGGTGATGGTCTGCAATTGTGCCCTCACAGTCCGGGTGATGATCTGCAATCGTATCCCCATAGTCCGGGTGATGGTCTGCAATTATGCTTACATAGTCCGGGTGATGGTCTGCAATTGTGCCTACATAGTCTGGATGATGGTCTGCAATTGTGCCTCCATAGTACGGGTGAGGGTCTGCAATTATGCTTACATAGTCCGTGTGATGGTCTGCAATTGTGCCTACCATAGTCTGGATGGTCTGCAATTGTGCCTCCATAGTACAGGTGAGGTCTGGTGTGCCTCATAGTCCCGGCTGATGGTCTGCAATTGTCTTCCATAGTCGGGTGGTCCAGTTATTGTCGGCAGAACGATAAGGCGGGTTGGCGCCTTTGGCTCGCTTTTTTAGTTATTATGATGACCTTTGAGAGATGGTTTACATAACCTGCCCTCAAAACAACATGCGCTCCCACACAAAGACTATATTTCGAAGACTGTATATAAATCAGAATGAGTACCTCTTCGGAGCTCACACTTGATCTAAATATACTTGAGACATTTATTCTCAAAGGCATTGCATCCCTCCCTTATAAAGTATCCCCGACTCCGTACGATTTAAAGTCAGTTCTTCCCACTGCTGCACATCCATGTACAATGCATTCAGATTATCCTTCAGTTTATCTTTAATCCTTTTTCTAGGAATGTGTTGTATGGACGCTTGGTCCGGTAAATCCCATCATCATTAGAGCTATTTATGATTTGGCTTTGTAAGCGTAATTTCTCGGGTTCAGCATGTCTGGTTGTTTCCGGGTATGCTCGTCTTTTAGAACCCATTTGGGTTTCTTCAACACACACGGTACCAATCTGTGGTTTATACTGTAACTATGTTGAGCGGACTTTAATTCATGCATGTGCCTCTCCAAGAATAAATATGCTTTAGGATTCATAGTTGTCTTTCTCCTACACTGGCTTCCAGCTGTGACTAGAGAGTTCAATTCGCCCTGATGTTTAATCCGCAGCTGGCGTGGACGTGGAAAAGAGCTGGATTCAGATCTTTCCCAAGAATATTTTTTACGAAAGGGCATGCAAAGAGCTTGACCGGAGTTCGAACTCAGATCGCCGAGTTGTCGTTCTGAACCGCTAACTATTACACTATGTGCAGGTCAGTTTCCGGGTAGAATGCGTTTTTTTTTTTAATGATATTTCTTGGGTAATTTTACATGGTGGAAACCTTCTTCTCCCCAAATAGCATGTGACTGACTTTATTGAGTCACACAACAGAAGGGATTTATATCTCTGCATTACCGCAAACTTTAAGTGGTTTCGGAAAACACACCTTCTCCAAATAGGTATTAGTATAAATGCGAATGCAAACTACTTGAGTAGAATTTGAAATCACTTCGTCGAATTCCTTTTTTCTTATTTTTTTAATATTCGACCCTTTCTGCACCTGTATACGCCTACATATGCACGCAAAAATGAATAGAAAAAAGGATTTACTCTAACAAAAAAATGACTGGACTCTTACAGATATTTTTCAAGATGGCTTTTATGACGTCATCGTTGAACAGCCAATCAGGAGGCTAGCTTATTTTGATCCTTTGGGTTTCGTATTTGAAACCTTAAGTGAGTAGTTACCGACTACTATAGAAAGTGGATGCCGTGGCTCATTTGGTAAACAAGTAGGGTTTATATTTTTAAACGTTCTCGCTTGTGGATAAAATCCACTGGTTAAATTCGATGGATAATGTGCACTATGCGTTCTCGAAAATCAATCCTATATTTGTAAAATCTTAGAAAGCCGATAGAACGATTAAATATTTATTTTAACCCATGACTGAACGACAATTTTTATAATTTCCTTTCTTCACTGACATTTTTTTTTTGTACATATAATAATAAATTTTGTTTCTATATTTATTTGTTTTTTAAAAAACGAAATAAACATTTTTTTTTGTCTTTTAAAATGTTGGTGATTATTACAAAAGGATTTTTTGTGGATTATATGAGGTTTTGAAGAATTGTGAGATGGAGACGGGTTGAAACGGCTTCATTGTCATACGGACAATATCTGCAGTATTAATTTTTCTTTTAAGGGCATTTCTTTCAGAAACCCTTTTGTTCTTATATTTCTTCTTTTAATGTCATTGCATTTTTTTTCTTTCTTTTTTCCCCCTAGCATCTTTCTTTTGCATCTTTTTTTTCTTTCTATATTTGTTTTGCATCTTTCTTTCTTTCTTTCTTTCTTTCTTTCTTTTTTCTTTTGTATCTTTCTTTTGTATCTTTCTTTCTTTCATTCATGCATTCTTTCTTTCTTTTTCACGCTTTTTCTTTGCTTTCTTTGTTTTGCGTTTTCCTTTTGCATCTTTCTTTCCTTCTCTTTCTTTTGCTTCTTTCGTTGTTTCCCCCCCCCCCCGCTTCTTTTGCATTTTTCTTTCTTTTTTCATCTTTCTTTTTTCTGTATCTTTCTTTCATTTTCATCCTTTTTTTTAATTTCTTTTTTTTTTTTATTCTTTCATTCTCTTTAATTGTTTTGCTTCTTTGTTTTTCTTCCGCCAATTTCTCCCCTTCTTTTTGCATTCTTTTTCGTCTCTCTTTCTTTCATGCATTTTCTTACAACCTTCTTTCTTTCTCTTTCGTTGTTTCGACTGTTTCATTTTCTTTCTCTCTTTTAGCCCTTTGTCGCTTTCGTTTGAAACTTCTGCATCTTTTTTCTCTCCTTTTCATCTATCTTTTCTTTTCTTTCTTTCTTTCTTTCTTTCTCGTTCTTCCTCTTCTTCACCGTTTTTATTCCATCTCTTTTCCATTAAATTCCATCTTGTCATCACTTATTTGGTTTCCTTGTATTTTTTTCTCTTAATATTTACCGAGGAGGACACGAAACGGAACCAAAGAAGCTAGAAAGAGAAAACATGGGACATTCAAACATCCTACCCCACCTTCTCCACACACACACACACACACACACACACACACACACACACACACGAAACAATTCTTTATCTCTCGCCTTCAGAGGCACATCACCAAACATAAAGAGAAAAGTAGTAAACCCGACCTGATATGGTTCCAACTTTTAGTCAGATCAAAAAACAAACCGTGGCATAACATGAAAGGGAACCGCCCTCTTTTCTGGCCTGATTACGTCACATGAGAAATACGTCATCACATTCACAATCTCCTACCACGTCGGTCCCCTCCCACCCTGTCAGCCTTCAGATGAAAATCACGTGACTCTCACTGACCACCCGGCAGCTCAATGAGCTGCGACTGCTTTATTCGATGTTCATTCTTCTTCTTCTTCTTGTTCTTCTTCTTCTTCTTCTTCTTCTTCTTCTTCTTCTTCTTCTTCTTCTTCTTCTTTCTTTCTTTGTCTCCCTTCTTGAAGAAACGATGAGGCTGTGGAATTAAACAGATGAGAATTATATATATATATATATATATAGCTTGTGTTTTTTTTACTAGCATATAATTCTATTCTTTTTATTCGCGTGTGAGCGCGCGCATGCGCATAAAGATCTATTTGTGCATACGAATACTTGATGGTAGTGCTACTTCTACTATAACATCTACTATAGCTTTTACTACTGCTACTATTATTAGTAGTAGAGGTAGTCGTAGTTTATTGTTAAACATTGTTAAACACCGTGTCTTTTATTTTGTAAGTGTTGCAAAATATTGGAGAAGTTACGTCAATCAATGTATTGTTTGTTATTATTACATATTCTTCTTTAATACTACTACTGCTAAAATTACTAGTACTACTGCTAATAATTATAATTATATATAGCTACATATAATATTAGTAATAATAATTAATGCGTTAGTAATTTATTCCATCAAGACTGATTGCTATATAGAGGCACTCCAATTATCTGTCTATGAATCTATCAAAAATAAACTATTAATGTGCATTAACAGGGATGTCACCATGAGAAAAGTTATAAGGAAATATGCGTATAATATAGAAATATTTACATCTATAACAATCCTGGGATATAAAACCCTGGGATAATATTTTTAATTTTGTGTGATAGGGATGTTAGTTGGTAATGACTTTACGTGGTTTTCATTCTGTCAGGATTATCAGCGATAAGAAACGTAAAATAATAATAATAATGATGATAATAATAATAATAATAGCAGTTTTTCCCCATCTAAAGCGACACAGATCTCTATCTATGTTCGCACACAACTTTCCACGTGCATAATAGATATAGGTCGATAGATATACCGATTCAAAAATCTGTAGGATTGTGTCAGATAAACGTAAATTGCAAGTAAAGGTTTTCCGCACTTAAACTACAGTCAACATCTGATAAGGTTTTCGGCGTCCGGTAAGCAGCCGATGACGTCATTTACGCACAAACTGAACGAGAAATCTCACTGCAACGAAAGGGCTTCTTTCTTTCTTTCTTTCTTTCTTTCTTCTTCACACCCGCACACAAAGATATGCAACGGTATATCTAAAACAAAATAGAGATATATCTATGTATATATAATTTTTGATCAAAAAGAAGTTAATGTATGTATTACGTTAGCAAGGTTGCATAAGTTCTTGGCTTTGTGTGCTCAAGAATTGAGGTCCGTGTCTGATTGGATAGTCGAGATTGAGTAAGTATATGTGCATATGTGAATGTGTTACATCACCGGCTTCCGCTATAAAAATATCTGTGGGATTTTTGAAATATATCAATACGAGAACATATATTGTTTGAACAGATTTTTTTTTTTTTTATTAGTAAGAAAGATCAAGGGAAAGAAAAGGGATAAAGAAAGGAATGAGTAGACAGAAGGAAAAATATAAGAAAGAAAGAAAAAAAAGAAAGGAAGGAAAATGTAAAGAAAGGAAGACGTGAATGAAATAGTCAGAAGAGAAAGAAAGAAAGAAAAAAAGAAAGGAAAATGTAAAGAAAGGAAGACGTGAATGAAATAGTCAGAAGAGAAAGAAAGAAAGAAAGGAAAATGTAAAGAAAGGAAGACGTGAATGAAATAGACAGAAGAGAAAGAAAGAAAGAAAAAAAGAAAGAAAGAAAGGAAAATGTAAAGAAAGGAAGACGTGAATGAAATAGACAGAAGAGAAAGAAAGAAAGAAAAGAGAAAGTAGGAAGGAAAAGTAAATCGGGAAAGAAAAAAGGAAGTTGTGTGGTGAAAATGATGACAGAAAGGAAGACGTGAATGAAATAAAAAAGAAAGAAAGAAAAAAGAAAATAGAGAATTAAGGAGAATAGAGAAAGAAAGAAAGGAAGGAAGGAAGCAAAGCATATCGGGAAAGAAAGAACGAAAAAAGAAAGTTGTGTGAGGAGAATGAAAGCATTAAAAAGAAAGAAATTAGGGGAAGCAAAAAGAAAGAAAGAAAGAAAATAGAAAAAAAAAACGAAATAAAAAGGAAAAAAAGGTGAATGAAAAGTAAATCTTTCTATCTATCTATCTATCTATCTATCTATGCCTGTTTATATCTATCTATCTATGCCTGTTTATATCTATCTATCTATCTATCTATCTATCTATCTATCTATCTATGCCTGTTTATATCTATCTATCCTATCTATCCATGAATCTATTTTATTTATTCATCTTTTCATCCTTTTTCATTATCTATCTATCTATCTATCTATCTATCTGTGTGTGTGTATAAGCTATAGAACACCATAATACAATCTTTTAGATAGAACCGTAGGCGCTTCCAACGGGGGAGGCATAACCAACATTAGAAGGTAAGAGTCGAAAGTCGGCAACTTCGCAATTGACGTCAGTACGTACGCCCAGTTTGTATTCAAAGTTTTCTAAGAATGGTTGTCATCCAAATCTAAAGAGCCCGTCGTACCTTGTTATTTGGCCCACTGACGGTTGTAGTGGTGTTGTATAATTAAATGTAACCATGCCTTTCACAAGGGCATCACCACACAGTGGATTCGATCCCAACAGAAACTCGCCTCCACGTACTGCACCGATAACAGCTGCGCCTTCGGCACATCCGTAATTTATGTATATGTATTCTAAAAAGAATAAACGAGGCCTTATCTATCTATCTATCTATCTATCTATCTATCTATCTATCTATCTATCTATCTATCTATCTGTGTGTGTGTGTGCATACCTATATAAATATATAGTGATTTTTCAAGCGAACTTTAGATGCGGCTCAATACCGAAATTATTAGGCATACAGTGAGGATCGAACTCGCTCGTAATTGTTCTAGAGAGACAAGCTTGTTGGCCATTACACCACACCGACGTGGCCGCACACACACACACACACACACACAAAATCTATCTATCTATCTATCTATCTATCTATCTATCCGAGTGTTCCATTATCTATCTATCTATCTATCCGAGTGTGTTCATTCATTCATCTATCTATCTATCTATCTATATCTATCTATAGAGTGTATTCATTATCTATCTATCTATCTATCTATCTATCTATCTATCTATCTATCTATCTATCTATGTATCCGTGTGTGTGTGTTTTTCGAACAATAAAAAGTATTAAAACTTAAAATCTTCAGATACACTAGGTTGTATATTAATATTCTTTTGTTTTTATTATTTCAGTTAGCTTCCTCGACTAGTTTCGGCCAACATGGCCATCATCAGGAAAAAAAATCTGCTTGTTAGTAAGCAGTGAACTACAGAAATGAATGACTTGATAGAGAAAATGAACTTTATGTGTAGTTTTCATATATATATATTTATATATATATATATATATATATATATATATATATATGTGTGTGTATATATATTCACTATAAAAAATGGCATTTCTTTTGTGTAGCCTCGCTTCCAATAACCGTTATTCATGACGTTAGCGTAGACTGTTTCCAACTTTTTAAAGAATACGAGGGTATAAACAAATCTCCCACACAGACGCCACATTGAATCAAGAAAATGGCTGAGACAGTCGAAATTTCTCGAACAAAAACAACACGACATGAATTTCGGACAACAATTATCCATATTTCTGATCCCAACCCACAACACCTTATAGGGAAATTAGAAAATACACCAAAAATAAACAGGCATCCATTGTCGGTTGGTTTTTAATGAAACGTGTTATCATCATCTTGCGGCCTCAGCCGAGATTGAACTCATCAATGTAGTTCATCATCTTGTCAAATAGCTGAATTCTTGATGCTTCGCTAGGGCTATCAAGGGTATTTTTTTATCGTGACACCAACACTAAATGGATTGCCAACCAAGGCTCAGAGAGACTCTATTCATCCTCCGCAGGTTCTGAATTCAGAGTTTTCCTTCTCCTAGACCAGTTGCCATCCAAGGCTATAGAACCCAGTTTGTCCTGCTATTTACCCATAGCTGGAGGGAGAGGAAGAGGATTCTTTCCCAAGGGTATTAGCACGTAAGTGAATGTAATGGATTCGACTGGAATTCGAACTCGGCTCTGCGATTCCTCAATCCAAGCCGCTATCCATTACTCCACCGTGCCTCCGTGTCATAAGGCATCGTGATCGAGGCTTTGAGCGTGCTTGCCTTGCTCAGACTTTTGGTCCTGCTAATTGATGAGCTCTCTCCCAGAAATTATACCTAAGGTGCGCTTAGTATAGTTGCAGTATCAATCACAGGTGGGACCGTGTGAGTTTGTAACAAAAACTAATTGGTCTGAACAAGCATCCAAGAAAAATTGGCTAACCACCCTAGCAGACCGTCATACGCGAGCTACCAGTCATTAAATATTATAATAAATATAGTGGAAAATAATTTCCTTTTTTTTTAATCATTTGACCATAAACAAGGCAATAAAGCCACTAAGACGCAAGTGGTTGCCGAGTGTGACAGAATATGAGAAACAGAAAACGTCATTGTGTAGAGAGAACAATAAAAGAACAGGAATTAAGAAGACAGAAGATAATGATTGATATTATTTTCTGCTACTAAGTGGCTAAAATATTTTTTAATAATTTTTACGTTTTTTATTTAGTTGACATATGGGAGCACAATAAAGTTTTCGGGAAATCACAAATATTTTCGTCGTGTGGATGTGTGCGTGCTGTTGCATATATATATATATATATATATATATATATATATATATATGCGTTTTAAGTAATTATTTGGCCATATTGATTTCAATGTCTACACATTATATTTTCAAACGATTTATCCCAAGTAACGTACACTCTTTCCATCAAGAAATAAGATATTAAGGCGAGACAGATAGATATGAAGGGAAAAAGATAATAAATGATTTAGATAGGTATATAGATTGATCGATCGATCGATAGGTAGATATGATATGATATGAAGAAAATAAAATAATGAAGTGACTTAGATAGATAGATATATAGATATATAGATAGATAGATACATGTGAGGAAAGATAAAATAGTGATTCAGATAGATAGATAGATAGATAAATAGATAGGTAAATAAATAGAAAGAGGGAGATTAATAAAAGAAAATAATGAGATAGAGAGATATGAAGAAAATAAGATAATGAAGCGAGATAGATAGATAGATATGAAGAAAGATAATAAATTGATTGAGATAGATAGATAGATAGATATGAAGAAAGATAATAAATTGATTGAGATAGATAGATAGATAGATATGAAGAAAGATAATAAATTGATTGAGATAGATAGATAGATAGATAGATATGAAGAAAGATAATAAATTGATTGAGATAGATAGATAGATGATAATAATGATATGATGAATAGAATAGATAATAAAATAGATAATGAGAAAAATAATAAATGATTGAGATATAGATAGATAGATATGAAGAAATGAAGAAAGATAGATAATGAAAGTGATTGATAGATAGATAGATAGATAGATAGATATGAAGAAAGATAATAAATTGATTGAGATAGATAGATATCAGGAAAGATAATAAAGTGATTGAGATAGATAGATACATAGATAGATAGATAGATATGAAGAAAGATAATAAACTGATTTGATAGATAGATACATAGATAGATAGATATGAAGAAAATAAGACAATGAAATGATTGAAATAGATAGATAGATAGATAGATAGATATGAAGCTACCAATAATCATTATAATCAATAGATAATAATTATGAATCATGCGAAATTGTATTGTCAAGTGCGTTGATCGTAAGAAAGAAAGAAAAGTAACAAAACAAAGACAGAGAAGATTTTGGACAAGTCAGACGTGGTAAACTGCGAGGATTTAGTCGAATGACGTCATTACTCTCTAGACCATCTCACACTGAATAAATTGACATGTGTGCGAGCGTACGCATAGAATAGAAGCGTCTGTGTTTGTATTCCTTATGGCGCCCGTCAAAGACACGAAGAGGCGTAACGAGTTATGCCCATAATGCGCGCACACACACACAAACACACACACACACACACACACACACACACACACACACACACACATATATATATATATATATATATATATATATATTAAGACCGACTTTGAATGTTATTTATGTATACAAAATGTATTTGTTTGCTTGATGCAGGACCATGTTTAGTAATCTGCTCTCGCAAGCTATTGTAAGTGAATTCTGGCTGTTTTTTTTTTCAACTCGACGAGGCGTATTTAATGTCTTTCCATAGAATATGTGATAAACACTTGCGAACAAAACTCTCATAAAAATTCTCATAATTTCATAAAACAGCATTCTCTTGATAAGAAATACAAACACACGCGTATATATATATATATATATATATATATTTAAGATATGAAAAACTTGGTAATCCGTATGGGTAATCCCAAGGAGGATGAAATCCTGATAGCTCAATATAAATCCAGAGCTAATATTTTAAAGAAAAACAGGCCACTTTAAGGTTCCATTATAATAATTTATTTCACCAGAGCCCTTTCAAAGGACGCGAGATCATCAGATGGCACTTCCAAAAATGAAACGAAAAATGAAATGAAAATTGATGGTGTTAGTTTTTGTAATTTAACAGAGAGTGTAATAGGAGTAGTTAGAGAGACATGGTAGAGTTTAGGGAGGGTTTAATTTAATATCTCTCTCAAGTATACTTTGTATTGGGGGAGGAGGAGTGCCTAGACCTTGACCTATTTAAACGGTCAACTGGTCACTCCTCTTTTAATTAGCTTATCACATGCGACGAGCAGAAACCAAAATGTGTTTGCCTTTACACACACACACATACACACAGGCAGACACACTCACAAGCACACATACTCACTCACTTGCGCGCACACACAAATACATACATTCATATATATATATATATATATATATATATATTTTTTTTTTTTTTCTACTAGTGAATTTTTCTGATTTTCGTATCGGTCCCATGACCAGATGTGGTCGTAGGGTTGCTGCGCAGCTGAGCAGTTATCTCCACATATATGGGGTCGAAAACCGGATAGGTATTCGTTTATGCATATCGTTTCTTGGGCAAGTTGAACTGCGAAGCCCAACGATCCCCAGGAGCTGATGTCCTCTAACGTGAAGGCCGTCCTTGGTCACGGACTCCATCGGGATCCGTTCCCCCATCTGAGCGTTGACTTCAGTCTAGAAATTCCTTCGTTCTGTGTACCACCAAGGCGCTGGCTGCATACACAGTCCAGTCTGATCCATCTTGTGATAGATGCCGTTGACCCTACAAGAAGATCTATCCATCCAGAACAGCCTGGTGCCTGAAAACGTTTTAGTCACCGATGACCTGACCATGTGGACAGGAATTACTAGGTTACATGGTACCAACGGGACTTGAAAATACAGTCCATTTTTTTTTTTATTACTGACTTTTGACTGTTGTTGGTCATTATTAAGAATAAACTTAAAATGAGAAATATCAGTTTATCACCGGCGCACTTAGAGTTTGTGAACGATCGTAGAATTTGCCCCCCCTCCTCTAAGCAGCATTCCAAAATTAAAATCCAGCCAAAAATATTGAAAATTATAAATACAGCCATCTCTGAGATGGATTCGTTTTTTTTCCGGCTTGTCAACCCTTTGCAGATTATTTACATCCATAAAGTACTTTTAGATCCTAATAATTTTTTTTTATAAAGATAATGATGTTAGCGATACAAGTTTTACTCATTAACCCATAGCTGGGGTGAGAAGAGGTGAAGGTATTCTTTTCCCAAGGGTATTTTTGCGTGTAACGAACCCACCTGAAGTTGAAACTCGGCTCTGCGATTAGCAATTCCGTGCCGTTATACGTTACCACCCGCACAGCCAAACTTACAGCACGTGGCATTCCCAAGCGGTCACCCATCTTGGTACTGACCAGGTTTGACATTGCTTAAATTCTTTGATCGTACGGGAACCGATATTTCAGCATGATACGGCCCTAATCCCAAGAAGAGATTTGAGTGAGCAGACAAATGTTTCTGTAGAAGCATGTTGAGAATACCATGGCCGGAACATGTGAGAAACAGGGACATTTTAAAGAAAATGAAAACAAAATGGCCACTTAGTCGGACTATTTTCCTCATCTTTGTCGCCATATTTGTCAAACGTTTCGGCCGTTGTACGCTCCGGCCTTCTTCAGGTGGTTGGAATTTCGAACTGAACCCTTTATTTCAAGGACACATGGCACAGTGGATAAAGGCGTTGGTTAGATCCAGTGACAGACCCAAAGAAGGTGAGTTCAATTCCTGGTTAAGGCAGTGGAGAACTTTCAGAGGGAAAATTAGCAGGAGATAACTGATAACTGACATCCATCAAACATGGCACGATGGAATTAGAACAGTCTACCCCAGTGATCGAAATAAAGGTTCAGTTCGACATTCCAACCACCTGAAGAAGGCCGGGCGTACAACGGCCGAAACGTTGTGAATAAATATGGCGACAAAGATGAGGACAATAGTCCGACTAATGTAAATACTGTACATAATACCTCATCTCAGAAATATAGACTAAACCCAAAATGGCCACTTATACTCAACATCAGAAAGAAAAAGTTGACATTTCTAGGACACATAGTGAAGAAAGAGCGCCTGGAAAATTTGACACGCACAAGACAGATTGAAGGCAGTAAGGACAGTTAAATTTATTCACATCTCTTGCCTAAAGAGCTACATGTCAATGGTTGACAGAACAGGAATAATTTTACAGAAAAACAAATTTTATCAAGTGTTACAAAGAGCAAAAAAGATGTGGAAGCAATTATCTCTAACGTCCCTGAAGGAGAAGAAATTTCATTTTTAAATATTTTTTTTTACAATGACAAGTGCAGACTGAATATGGAAACAAAAAGGACACTTGGAAATCAGAAAAGACAGTTTGAAAATCTCACACTGAGGAAAGAAGGCTTGAGAATTTGACACTACAGAACATATCGAAAACAGGAAGGACAAAAAGAAACCTACCTAATCATCTTGTGTAAAATGGTTGGCGGAACATGGATCAAGAGAGATAATAAAAAGATATCATGTTATGAGCTATGAAGGGCGGGAAGTCGTATAGAGCCGATAACCCATGCCCTGAATGAACAAATTCACACAGAAGTATTTTTTGCATGCTACTTCATTATACTAATTCATTTAAATGCTGCACCCACCACTGCAAAAAAAAAAAATCTTATTCCCGGATGCAGACCATCTCTCATGTTGGTTTCACGTTACTGTTAATTGTTAAAAAAAATGCAAGTTAATGTCAACTTGTCGATTTGGGAAGCATTATTATTTTAAATTTAAAGATTACGAGTGTAACCCGGATATAGTTATCAGGACCGGAGAAAGTCTCTATAAAGTTTCTCTTTGTCAGGTTTGGACCGGAGAAAATCTCCTATAACCGGCTTTTTTTCTTATATCCGTATGTATTGGTATATATATTTTATATACATTAACACAGAATAATATATGGGACCAGAAAATCTCTCTATATATCAGGTAGTCAGGACCGGAGAAAGTCTCTTTTCTCTATCTATTTCCGTCAGGGGGAAAATCTCTCTTATATCTGTTTTCTCTCTATATAGTTTATTCGTATATATATATATCTATCTATCTATGTTTGTATATATATATATCTGTGTTCGTATATCTATGTTATATATATATATATATATATACATACATATATATTTTTCTAAATATAGTGTAACGGATACTCTGATTGTCAGGACGAGTTAAAAAGTCTCTTATATCCGGGTTTGGTCTATTTTATACTTTTGTCCACAGGCTCTAATTTGGGACCTTTTCTTTTCTCTTATTTAGGGTTTCTCTTATATCCGTTTATTTTATATATATATATATATATATATATATATATATATATATATATCTGTGTATGTGTGTGTATATATATATATATATATATATATATACATACATATACGTCTTATATATATATAGTGTAACGGATATAAATAATCCTGGACCGGAGAAGTCTCTTATATCCATTTTTTGGTCTATTTTATATACATTAACACAGCGTTCTAATTTGGGACCAGAGAAAATATCTCTTCTATCCGGTTTTCTCTTAAATTTTATTCTCTCTTATCCGGTTTCTCTTATATCGGTCTCTTACATCCGGGTTACCTGTACTTTTCTAGCGCACAAATAACGTCACCTAAAAAAAATATTTTCTAAGGTTATATTCTTAAAAATCTAGTCAGTTCAGGTGAGGATCACATCGGGGCCGGTTCAAGGATTTCGTTCCCCCGCCTGAATCTATGATACTAGCTCTCCACTCTACCAAATTTTTTTATAATGTATTATTCATATAAAATACATATTTTATCATGACCGAATTATGTCCAATAATGGATCATATGCAATATAGGTGAACAATTCAACTAGAAAAATTGAAAATAAATACAATGTATCTAAATATAAATTAGAGACATGTCATAATAGATCATTCCATCTTGAATAAATCAACAATGTTTTGAGGCAATTTTTAACATAATTTTTTTTTTCTATAGATTTTTATTGTTAAAAAGTTGAATAATCTTAACACATTCAACATTATGGGTAACAAATAGTAAATTTTATATAGTGGGTTTTTCCAAGCCTCATAAGCAAAACAAATTTACGGATTTGGCCAAAATAAATAAATAACCCATAATGACGTCAAAATCTGAAGTTTAATTTGTGAAGTATACAAAGTAAAGTAAAAAAAAAGCAAATATTTTTAAGATGGCGAGATTCACAAAACGCAGTTCAGGGTCAAACATGCACCGGCCCTGGGTCACATAGAACATAAGGACAACAGTACTATGATATATCATTAGTTTTTAAGAGCTTTTTGTTATACCTTCGACTATCGTGAAAGATATTAGGTTTAATATGGTCCTATTTTAATTTAAATCTAATTTAAATATTCGTCGACATGTTCTGTATCTATTAGAAAATATACGTGATTGACAAGTGTGACATTAAAATTAAAAGAAAAAAAAAACCTTAAGATTTGTCCTAATTCGGAATGTATTATTTGTCATGTCCTACGAATATTCTAAATTAATTTTTTCATAACACTGAAAAAAGAAAATGTCTTCAATATCGAAAAAAGTTTTTTTCTTTTGCAGTTTAATTTGTGGTTTCACTCTTGCAATTATACGATTACAGTGATAAGAGACCCGGATTTAAGAGAAACCCGGATATAAGAGAGATTTTCTCTGGTCCCAAATTAGAGCCTGTGTTAATGTATATAAAATAGACCAAACCCGGATATAAGAGAGACCCGGATATAAGAGACTTCTTCTCCGGTCCGGACAAATCTGTTATATCCGGGTTACACAGTATATGTCGGACATTTATTGTATCGAAATACGTTTACTTTTAGAAGATTCAATATATTTAATTTTATTTGTGATGGACATTTTGTTAGTGGAATTATATCTTTCTTTCTTTCTTTCTTTCTCTTTCATTTTATTTTTCTCTTTCTTTGTTTTTTTTCTTTCTTTTTCTGTTCTTTTATTCTGCACTGCCTCTTCGCTTTATTGGTCTGCTTTTTTTTTCTTCTCTTCTGTTTAATTCTCCTTAGCGTTCTCTCTTCTCGTTTTATTTCTCTTACCTTCTCTTTCTCGCCCTCTTCTCCTTTCCTTTTTTTTCTCACGTTTTCTCTTCCCTCTCCTCTTTCTTTTTCTCTTCATTTTCTCTTTTTCGTTCCTTTTCTCTTTCTTTTCTCTCTTCTCTTTCTTTTCCTTTTTCTCTTTCCTTTTTCTTTCTCTTTTTTCTTTCCTTTCTCTTCTCTTTCTTTCTTTTCCTTTCTCTTCTCTCTTTCTTTCTTTTCCTTTCTCTTCTCTCTTTCTTTCTTTTCCTTTCTCTTCTCTTTCTTTCTTTTCCTTTCTCTTCTCTTTCTTTCTTTCTTTCTTTCTCTTTTTCTTTCCTTTTCTTTTCTTTCTTTCTTTCTTTCTTTTCTTTTTTTCTCTTTCTTTCTTTCTCTTTCTTTTCCTTTCTCTTTCTCTCTTCTCTTTTCTTTCTTTTTTTCCTTTTCTCTCTTTCTTTTTTTCTTTCTTTCTTCCTTTTTTCTTTTCTTTTCTCTCTCTTTCTTTTTTTCTCTTTCTTTTCTTTCTTTCTCTTTCTCTTTTCTTCTCTTTCTTTTCCTTTCTCTTCTCTTTCTTTTCCTTTCTCTTCTCTTTCTTTTCCTTTCTCTTCTCTTTCTTTCTTTCTTTCTTTTCCTTTCTCTTTTCTTCTCTTTCTTTTCCTTTCTCTTCTCTTTCTTTTCTTTTTCTTTCTCTTCCTTTTTTCTTTCTTTCTTTCTTTTCTTTCTCTTTTCTTCTCTTTCTTTCCCTTTCTCTTCTCTTTCCTTTCTCTTCTCTTTCTTTCTTTTTTTCCTTTCTCTTCTCTTTCTTTTTCCTTTCTCTTTCCTTTTCCTTTTCTTCTCTTTTCTTTCTTTCTTTCTTTTCTTTTCTTTTTTCTTTCTCTTTTCTTTTCCTTTCTCTTTTCTTTTCTTCTCTTTTTTTTTCTTTCTTTTCCTTTCTCTTTTCTTCTCTTTCTTTTCTCTTTCTCTTCTCTTTCTCTCCCTTTCTCTCTCTTTTCTTTCTCTCTTTCTTTCTCTTCTTTCCTTTCTCTTTTCTTCTCTTTCTTTTCCTTTTCTCTCTTTCTTTTCTTTTCTCTTTTTTTCTTTCTTTCTTTCTTTCTTTTCCTTTCTCTTTCTTTTTTTTCTCTTTTTCTTTTTCCTTTCTCTTCTCTTTCTTTTCCTTTCTCTTCTCTTTTCTTTTCTCTCTCTCTTTCTTTCTCTTCTTTCTCTTTCTTTCTTTCTCTTTCTTTTCTTTCTCTTTTTTCTTTTTCTTCTCTTTCTTTCTTTTTCTTTCTCTTTCTTTTCCTTTTTCTTTTCTTTCTCTTTCTTTTCTTTTCTCTCTTTCTTTTCTCTTTCTCTTCTCTTTTCTTTTCCTTTCTCTTTTTCTTTTTCTTTCTCTTTCTTTTTTCTTTCTTTCTTTCTTCTCTTTTTTTTTTTTTTCTTTCCTTTCTCTTCTCTTTTTTTTCTTCTCTTCTCTTTCTTTCTTTCTTTCTTTTCCTTTCTCTTTCTTCTCTTTCTTTCTTTTCCTTTCTCTTTTCTTCTCTTTCTTTCTTTTCCTTTCTCTTCTCTTTCTTTTCCTTTCTCTTCTCTTTCTTTCTTTCTTTCTTTCTTTTCCTTTCTCTTTTCTTCTCTTTCTTTTCCTTTCTCTTCTCTTTCTTTTCCTTTCTCTTCTCTTTCTTTTCCTTTCTCTTCTCTTCTCTTACTTTCTTTTTCACTTATTTTCTTTCTCTTTTTCGTTTCTTTCTCTTCTCTCGCCTCCTCTTCTATTCTTTCTCTCTCTCTCTCTCTCTCTCTCTCTACCAAAACAAATTAGGCTGATGTTATCATCCCTTTCTTAATTCGACCCATCACTACAGTTCAATTTATGTGTTAGTCACCAGTCAGCGATAATGGCGTCATCGATATTATCATAATATATGAGGTTTATTACTTCAGCCCCGGTCGGGTGAACGGACCTTCTGCCGGCATATTTTGGGCTCACCCCATTGGATATCAAAAATAAATTCATAAAGGTCTATATACACAAATAAACGCATTTATCCTCATCTTACACTTACTAAAAAAGATCCCCCTCTACGATAAAAATCAACACTGGCTTTGTTTACATTTTCTATTGCGTCTTTTGTTGTGTATTTTTTTTTGAATTCACAAGATTTCTAAGATTAGTTTTCTCTTCAGCAGACAAAGATACAGTGGATGAAAAATATCTTATATAAAACTATTATCTGTTTATTTATTTTTTGTCTATATTTACTGTTTATCTTTCTTTTCTTGTTTTTAATTCTGTCGTTCATTTTCGGGTATCTTTTTTTTTCTCCCCCCTATTAGATGCGATGAGCGACTATTTTCTTTTTCTTCATCTGTGGAAGAATTGATTCTATTTTTATCTTCGTTTATACGTTATAATGTTTGAAATTTTGTATAATTCTTCTTTTTTTTTATCACTTTGTCTCACGGATTTTTTTCTTTACATTTTCTTTAAATTTTTCTTTCTTCCTGTCTTTCATTCTTTTTTTTTTTTTTTTTTCACGCCTTTTGTTCTTTATTCATTTCGAGTCATCGTTTCTCTTACTTCTTTCTTTCGTGTTTTCTTTTCTTTTTTCTTTCTTTCTTGATTTCTTTTCTTTCTTTCTTTTGTGTTTTCCTTTCTTTCTTGATTTCTTGTCTTTCTTTCGCCATTTCTTTTCTTTCTTTTGCGTTTTTCTTTCTTTCTTTTGCGTTTTTTTTTCTTTCTTCCTTTCTTTTTACATTCTTTCTTTCACCTCCTTCATTCTTTCACCTCCTTCATTCTTTCACCTCCTTCATTCTTTCACCTCCTTCATTCTTTCACGTTTTCTTGTCTGTCTTTCTTTCACGTTTTCCTTCCTTTGCGTTGTTCTTTCTTTCTTTCTTTCTTTCTTTCTTTCTTTCTTTCTTTAGCATCATGTTTCTTTCACATCTTTCTTTATTCACTTTTTCAGTTTATTTTCTATTTATTTCTTCGCTTTTATTTTATTTCTTAAAATAAGTGGCAGCAATATACACACTCTCTGTACTGTTGTACTTGTTAATGGTGTTCGGACGATTTTAAATCGTCCAAACTCTACCCCAAAATATGGACAGAATTCTTGAAAATAAAACAAAACAAAAAAAACTCCAAAAAACGTAACCCGAGGGTTCTAAAATGCTACAAAAAAAGATAATGCTTTTTTAATGATTGGTCTAAAAACAGCTCTTGCGCGCCGCTTCTCGTCCCAGTAACCCAGTTAGACATAAACGAACACACACACACACACACACACACACACACACACACACACACACACACACACACACACAACAGAGAGAGAGAGAGAGATAGGCTAACGGTCAATTTATTTGGGCAATAGCTCATACCGTTATGACGTTTAAGACTGAAACCAACCAGGTTTCCGATATTGCTATGTTTATCCTTCAACGCTCCTTTGAAATCAATAGTCTATAATATAAGTACCAATTTAAATATTTAACGCCTGTGTTCAATTAATAGCTAGACGACAAGAGGTTTATTTCTCTAACGTTTCTTTATCGACGCTTATTTCCAAAGTGGATGTGCGGCTTCTGTAAGGGTTAGCGACTGGGAAAAAGAGAAATCGGAGACCCGAGTTCGTAACGTTCACTTACGCACGAATAGCCTTGCCAAAGGTAATTGTTATGGTCCGGTTCCTTGTACCACGGGGATAGTCCAAGGTAGAACCAATAAAGAAGAACTCGAACACGGATATGGGATAACACAGATATATTACAAACAGGAATATATACAGAGAAGTAGAAAGTGTTAGTACGAACAATCAGGTTTAGTAGTAATTGTCTGAACGCGGCTCTGTTTCGGACTGCCTCTGACTCGACTGACTGTACTCGCTCGCTCTGACTGACTGACCGACTCCTGACGGACCTCACTCCAGACTTCAGACTTCACTCCAGACTTCAGACGGAACAGTATTTAGTCACCCCTCGCCACGAAGGTATCATGTGGCACAAGGCCGGTTTAATGTGGGATCTCGAGTCCGTGGGCTGGCCAAAAATATGCCCTTTGAACCCTTATAAACGGGTTCACGGTTTGTTTACCACCCCGAAAGAGACTCCGCCCTTCGGCGTAGCCTCGTTCAGGTTCCTCCCCGCCCGAAGGCAGAGAGTTCAACCGATCAGCCGGTCGCTCGACTTAAGACTGAACTCCCTGCTTCCTCTTGAGGCGCAGTATTTATTACGTATGGAATAGTCCATTATGTGTAAAGTCCCATAACAGTAATAATTTACCTCTTCCTTCTGTGCCCCAGCTATTGGTTAAAGAGCAGGGTTGATTGGGCTCCCGCTCTCTTGCTTCGAGGTGGTAACTAGTCTAGGAGAAATTAAACACTGTTCGAGTGAAACTGACTTCTCGCCGATGGAATATGGAAAGAATATCTGTGGTTTGCTACTATGCAAGTGAAGGTCGGACCTGCTGGAACCAAAGAACGTAGTTCGTCCTAGAACTTTTCATGACAGTAACGACAGAGCAGCGAGAGGTTCCCCACATCCCGTCCGTGATAGAGAGAGACAGAGAGAAGATGAAGGATGGAAAATAATTCTTTTCCACCAAGGACTCGGAGATGCTTTTGTACTCTATCAATACTGGAAAGTGAGGACTGGGCAACTACTGCCCAAATATGGCAACGGTACTCCATTTTTACTCTGGTCTGGCTCTCGTAAGGGCAGACGATAGCAAGTGGAGATAGGTACTTACTGGAGCGGTACGTGGGGTGAAGCAACCATTTTTCCTGCATCTAGAGATAAACTGTTACCTTGTGGACTGGCGCTACAGAATCGCAAGCAAAGAGCTGTACCAAATAACAGAAACCACATAACTTGAGGACTTTCAACAATGGCAACAACTGAAATCGACATTACATCATGTATCTCAAGGAGATAATGATACAATTAAGATTCTGAGATTCCACATTACTTCAAACAAAAAGTTAGCAAGGAAGTTAATACTGGAAAAGCTATAACAGTTACTGAATTTGAGAAAAAATATTTTTCTGAAAAATTCTTTTAATAGAAAGATTTTATAAACTTCAACTAACAATGGCATATATCTTTTCTCTCTCTCTTTCTTTATAACTTTCTTTATATATACACAGTGGAGTAATGGATAGCGGCTCGGATTGAGGAATCGGAGAGCCGAGTTCGAATTCTAGTCCAGTCCATTAGATTCACTTACGTGCTATGGGAAAGGCATGAACCCTCTTCTCCCCCCCCAGCTATGGGTAGATAGCAGGACTGACCGGGGTTCTATAGCCTTGGATGGCAACTAGTCTACTCCAGAAAGAAATGGCAACCTAGTCTTCAGTCATGTATCGAAAGATACATGAACGCCTTTCCGTCTATCACGCATCGCACATTGTTGACATATATATACCTATCTCTGTATGTACGTGCGTATATATATATATATATATATATATATATTGACCTTACTTGGCATCTCGGCTTCAGTCAATTACCCACTGCCGTAATATAGCATTTTTGAGCCTTTTTCGACAATATCTACGTAACCAGTTCTTTTCCTATTTTCTATATATTTTCACAAATATATATATATATATATATATATATATATATATACATATATATATATATGTGTGTTTCTGAAGAGTTAATATATTTTTTTAATAAGGCATTTTATCCACTGCACGCTTGTTTAATAATACACACGCACGCACACACACACACACATATATATATATATATATAGATAGATAGATAGAGAGAAACAGACGGAGAGAGTGAGACGCACACGCTCACACACCCACACACTCTCTTTCTCTCTCTGACACATACACACACACACACACACACATATATATATATATATATTGTCTTTATTTTGTCCCGAAAATAACGCAACTATACGAAGTTTAGAACGGCTCATGATCAAACATAATAGACATATAGACATTCGTTGTATTTTATATTTAATAATATTAACATATATATATATATATATATATATATATATATATATATATATATATATTGTTAAATATGACAGACAACGAATATCTATATTTTCTTTTTACTTTATTTTTATTTATTTCATTACTTTATTAAGATTTTTACTCTAGTAAATCGACCGCATTTATTTATTTGTTTATTTTTTAATTTTTCTTTATTCTCGAATTGTGTGAGTGGTTTGTGTTATTTTATTTGTGTGTGTGTGTATGTGTGTGGTGTGTGTGTGCGCGTTAGTGTGTGAGTGTGTGTGCACTATAAATACAGACCCCGTGCAAGCTATGCATCTGCTAAACTATTTATCCAGCGTCTGTGGGTTTTTAAATGTTTATTTATAGTCGTTACATTGCCATCTCTGCGATGTTCATTTCGCTTGGAAATAGCAACGAAATTCCTGCATATTTTATGTCTATAAGTGCTATCCTCCGTGGGTTGTAATGACGTCATCGCAATTGGGTGAGCGTGTACACAAACACACACACACACTCACACACACTGCGGCTTATATGACGTTCGCCTCTTCTTTCCACAATGGCGGGTTCGAAATTCCTGTGACCTTCCCTCCCACCACGTATAGATGGGAGTAGATTCATAAACTGATCAAGCTCCATTGGCATTTCCCTGTTTGGACGCCTCAGGCCTCAGGAGTTGATTCTGATTCTAATTCCTTTAAGTTCAGTGGGGAGGTGCTGTTTGGTGGCCGGTTCCATGGCTGGGAATTATCCGGACAACGAATGTTTATATTCTTCGCCGTATTAGATGGACAGACTCGAACAATTTTGTCTTTTCTTTGACTTAACCTCGACTTAATATAAGGGACTTATTGATTAGATAGATAGATGAGCAAGTTGTGATAGATAGATAGATAGATGAGCAAGTTGTGATTGATAGATAGATAGATAGATGAGCAAGTTGTGATTGATAGATAGATAGATAGATAGATGAGTAGGTTGTGATTGATAGATAGATAGATGAACAGTCTGTGATAGATAGATAGATAGATGAACAGGTTGTGATTGATAGATAGATAGATAGATAGATAGATGAACAGGTTGTGATTGATAGATAGATAGATAGATAGATAGATAGATGAACAGGTTGTGATTGATAGATAGATAGATGAGCAATTTGTGATAGATGAGCAGGTTGTGATAGATAGATAGATAGATGAGCAATTTGATGATATGAATGAGCAGGTTCAATAGATAGATAGATGAATGAATGAACAGGTTATTGATTGATAGATAGATAGATGAGCAATTTGTGATAGATGAGCAGGTTGTGATAGATAGATAGATAGATAGATGAGCAAAATGATAGATAGATGAAGGATAGATAGATGAGCAGGTTGTGATAGATGAAGATAGATAGATAGAATGAAGCAGGTTGTGATAGATGAATGATAGATAGATAGATAGATAGATAGATAGATGAGCAGGTTGATAGATGATGATGAATAAAATGAGTTGATAGATAGATAGATATAGATAGATAGATGAACAGGTTGTGATAGATAGATAGATAGATAGATAGATGAGCAGGTTGTGATAGATAGATGAATAGATAGATAGATGAGCAGGTTTGATGATGAATGAATAGAAGGATGAATGGAATGAGATAGATTATATAGTTGTGATAGATGAATACTTAGATAGATAGATAGATGAGCAGGTTGTGATAGATAGATAGATAGATAGATAGATAGATGAGCAGGTTGTGATAGATAGATAGATAGATAGATAGATGAGCAGGTTGTGATAGATAGATAGATAGATAGATGAGTATGTATAGATTACTCGAACGAATGGCAGATTTATAAGTGTGCAAGATCGATTTTGTCGAGAAAATTGTCGAGCACGATACAATGAAATAACTTTTCTTCGTATCAGACCTCTCTCTCTCTCTCTCTGTATATATATATATATATATACACTTTCGGTCCGCTACTAACGGGTCTATTCTCCACGCAATTCTTAGACGTCCAGTCACCGTCTCGGCGCAGTCGAATGTTTTGGTGTCGCCCGCCTTCTTCTAACGACCGCCTTCTTGCTGTAGTCATCCTCCGCAGCCTTTTGTCTACCACCATCGGGCTGGGCTTCGTCGCGAGACACGCGGCTACAGCTCGTCGGTGAAATGGCGACTCTTACCGGAACACCAGCTCGTTCGACCGGTGCTGGTGAACGTCTTCGTTTCCGTTTTGTTATTCGCCCTTCGGTATCCGGTGGAAACCGTCGTCGTGGCCGTCGTTGCATAGCGTCCCCTGTAGCCTTCTCCCGCTCTCCTTCGGCTGTCACCGACTTCGCGTCTCTCACGCCGGCGCTGTGTGTCGACGACGCGAAAAACGCGAAAGCGCCGTAAAATGAAACGTCTTTTTAACGATCAAAGCCGGGATGTATAACATAGAAAGAAACATTTTAAGGATATAAGAGGGAAAAGAGAAAGATGTGATATGACTAACGATTGAGAATTTTACTTTACAGTAAGCCGTGTTTAAGTCAGCGTTACACAATATTTATTTTACGAGAATGGTTGGTGCCAAGCCAAATAATTATCTTCAACACCATCACTTTGTTGTTTTCCCTCTTTTATTGTATTTGTTTTAGTAGTTACCTTTATCTTTTATTCATGAAACTGATCCCAACTTGAAGCGCCGTAGATAATAGTTTGATAGGTATGTGGCAAATTACAGTAAATTGTACTGTAGATGACGCCCGCTTTGAAAAATGTAACGAAACCAAGCATAAAACTCAGCATTAGGCCTGGTGCCTGACATATATTAATTAAATGAGCACAAAATAAGATATACAAGAAAATACTTAACATGATATATATATATATATATATATATATAGTCGACTCTCCCGTCAAAATTCGACGTATGAGGGTCAAGCAGATCAGTTTCCAGGAAACCGACAGACCGACAACAGCACATGAGATTTGATTATAGTGGTGAAGGTTTCGTGCAGGACCAGCCACACTTTTTGAAGGGTCGCATACAGAGACCTGGTACACTACGTGCCACAAGGTCCCCAAACGACCCTTCGCAGGTTTTGAATTCAGAGTTTTCCTTCTCCAAGACCAGTTGCCGTCCAAGGCTATAGAACCCAGTCTGTCCTACTTTTTTAGCCATAGCTGGAGGGAGAGGAAGAGGATTCATACCTTTCCCAAGGGTATTAGCATCGTAAGTGAATGTAATGGATTCGACTGAATTCAAACTCGGCTCTGTGATTCCTCAGTCCAAGCCATCCATTACTCCACCGCATCTCTATCTCTTCTCTCTCCTCTATCTCTATATATATATATATATATATATATATATCTATATCTATATCTCTCTGGCGTCCATTAACTTCTCTCTATATATATATATATATATATATATATATATATATACAAATGTATAGTGTATGGCAATGCAGCGTCAAACCTGGCGTCCATTAAGGTTTATATGGACTTTTGTGCGCACCCCAAATTTTAAAGAAGTATTTTTGATATAAAAATCATATGAATATAAACTTAGGTAATCCATTGTTAAACGGAACACTTAGATACTAAAGATAGACCACGTTAAGATTCCTACACGTGCCACAAACGTACACACGAGTGACAAATGTAACCTAGTCTGCATGGCAACGCAGCGTCATATACAGATAAACTTCCTTTAAACTTAACCAAAAAACGAAAGATTTATGATAGGTTTATTTGGACTTTTTGTCCTTGGTTAATGCGAAGAAGGCAGAACCCCCAAATTTTTAAAGAAGTATTTTGATACACTGTATATATATATATATATATATATATATATATATATATATAAACTTAGGTAATCCTTATAGATATTTTATTTTTTACAAAATAGGTAGACCTGAGGCGGATGATATCCAGAGAGCTCAATGCAAAAAATTCAGAGCAGATATGTTTGAATAAAAGACAGACCACGTTAAGATTCCATGTAAAAATGTTATTTCACCATAACCCTTTTACAGGGGTTCTGGATCATCAGACTTTACTTCAGCTAAAAAGCTGTCGGTTGAAATGAAAAAAAAAAAAAATTAACGGTAAAACGTTTTTATGGACCTCATCAAGTATATTTTAAAGTTAACGAAGTGAGGAAGTGAGGTGAGAGAGGATTTTAGAGGTGTCTTTTTAATGTATTTCATTTTAGTTTCCTATTTTAACCCCAGTGTGTCGGAAAAATTCACTATATTAGATGTTATTTATTTATTTATTTATTCAAATTTAACGCGTCTCGTCTCTAGATAAATGGTTACTACAAAAGGGGTGAATGATAAGAACGATTTATTAAAAGGAAGACGTTACAACAACCCCAATAAATTATTATAACGACAAGTTTCCATTCAAATTTTAGACGCTGTTAATTCACGTTACTTTAACTTTAATTTAGCATATTTGGGAGGTTAAGGTTTGATAAATATCTAAATGTTAAAAAACAATCTACGAAGAAATTAATTTGAAATTAGGTGGAGTTTTTGGAAGTAATAAAGGACATGTGGGTCATCTAAAAAAGTCTGATGATCCAGAACCCTGTTAAACTTAGGGGTTATTTTTGGTGAAATAGCTTATTACATGGAATCTTAACTTTTGTCTGTAAAATTATTTTTTATTCAAAATGTAAAAATATATATATATATATATATATATATATATATATATATATTTATATAATTTAATGTATATAATTTAAAAAGCGTACAAACCATTACAATGGTAAAGACCAAATGCTCAATATATGTGTGAAGCATATAAGTACAAGAGATTGTTGTGTAGGCATAAATCGTAATTAAAATACCAGACCCACAGCCAGACACGTTGAAAGGTGATCCCCATTACACCCTCCCGGTATTATTTTTATAGACGATAAACCGTGTCTGCCATTGGCGCGCGCTACAGGAGATTTGGCATCATCTGAACAGAACTTGTACTATTAAACGTCGACTCTTTATGTATTTTTTTTGAGTTTGTGAATTTTTTGTTTTTGTTGCAGGATTTTTCTAAGAGATAGCGTTGATTGTCATCATTTTTAAGTCTTTCTTCATGCTTAACATAAATTTTTTTCTTAAGTGTTTATTTCTTCATATGTGGTGTGCAATTACATTTTAACTACAGCGTATTCTCGTCATGAACGTTACTTATTCTTGCATATATTTCAGGGGCTTTTTTTTTGTCTTTTTTTCTTTTTTTTAGTCTTTTTCGTTATTTCTTTCGTATTTCTCCTTCGTTTCACTTTTTTTTGTTGCTCTTTTTCTCTCTCTTCTCTTCTCTTTTCTTTCCTATCGGAACCTTTACCTCTCTTTTTTTTCCTCTTCTTCATTCTTTATCTTCTCGTTTTCTTCTTTCTTTCTTTCTTTCTTTCTTTATTTATTTTAATCCTCCCTACTTCCTTCTTTATATTAGTTACTTCTTCTTCCTCTTCTTTACCTTCTCTTAATCAATATATCTTCTTTCTCTACTTCTTCTCTTAATCCTTATACCATCTTAATGTATTTTCTTCTTCTTCTTCTTCTTCGTTTTTGTTTACTTCTTTCTCACTGAATCATCATACGTCTACATCCTTCTTCTTCTTCTTCTTCTTCCTTTTTTCTTCTTCGTACTCCATTGTTTGTTGTTGCTCTTCTTCTTCTTCTTCTTCTATTGTTTGTTGTTGTTCTTCTTTCCACTTCTTCTTCTTCTTCTTCTTCTTCTTCTCCTTCTTCTTCTTCTTACTCCATTGTTTGTTGTTGCTCTTCTTCTTCTTCTTCTTCTTCTTCTTCTTCTTCTTCTTCTTCTTCTTACTCCATTGTTTGTTGTTGCTCTTCTTCTTCTTCTTCGTCTTCTTCTTCTTCTTCTTCCATTGTTTGTTGTTGCTCTTCTTCTTCTTCTTCTTCTTCTTCTTCTTCTATTGTTTGTTGTTGTTGTTCTTCTTTCTACTTCTTCTTCTTCTTACTCCATTGTTTGTTGTTGTTGTTCTTCTTCTTTCCTCTTCTTTTTCTTCTTCTTCTTCTTCTTCTTCTTCTTCTTCTTCTTCTTCTTCAAAGCCTTAGAATTTCGTGTCCAGCCATTGTAAATATACAACCATTGCAGCCAAGCACTCAATTGACTCGTGGCATTTCATTCTAAATCCGGTAAACACGACACAGACGCCTGTGTTTAAGACAAATGGCCAAGAATCTAGAAAACAGTGCAATTAAATGAAAATAACTGAATAATAAGAAAAGAAAATAGATTTAATTGGAGGTAGGCCCAGACTCAACTAACCAAATATAACCAATTATATATTGCTTGAAGGAATGTCACCTCATTGATTGTACCACTTACGAATCCGGTCTGTTGAACAAGTCAGAGCAAACAAGACACACACATACACACACTCTCTCTCTCCTCGATAATAAATACACAGTTTCTGCTTAAAACCGACCCCTGTATAAAATAAAAGACAAAAAAAAAGAAAAACATGACTCAGTCGTTTATTATTCGAGCCGTGGTGCGTGCATTGTAATATTTCAAGCAAATTAAAGATGCAATGTGGTCGATGAAAACAACATGGAAGAACTAAACATCGATTGTTAATAAAATAAGATGGATGGTTGTAAACAAAAGTGACGGCTCAAGGTCCGAAAGCGCAAAAGTGACGGCTCAATGTTGGAATGTGCAAAAGGAACGACTCAAGGCCCAATTGTACAAAAGGGACGGCTCAACGCTCGATTGCACAAAAGGGACGGCTCAAGGCCCGATTGCACAAAAGTGACGGCTCAATGTTCGAATGCGTAAAAGAGACGGCTCAAGGCCCGATTACACAAAAGGGACGGCTCAAGGCCCAATTGCACAAAAGGGACGGCTCAAGACCCGATTGCACAAAAGTGACGACTCAAATGTTCAAATGCACAAAAGGGACGGCTCAAGGCCCGATTGCACAAAAGTGACGACTCAAATGTTCAAATGCACAAAAGGGACGGCTCAAAGCCCGATTGCACAAAAGGGACGGCTCAATGTCCGAAACCGCAAAAATGATGGCTCAATATTCGAATGCACAAAAGGGACGGCTCAAGGTCCAAAAGTTAGAAATTTTTTATATCTGTCTATATCTCTGAGATGAGGTATTATGAATTTTTACATTATTCGAACTGTTATCCTCATCTTCATTGCCATATTCACAACGCTTCGAGTATTGAGTTAAAGGGAAATAACTGAGACACCTGGAAGAGGCATGGCACGTAGAAGTAAAACAATCTACACCGGTGGACGAAATAAAGGG